ATCGTCGAGTAACTCGAGCGGGCGCAAGTAAATCCTCCATTTTTCCCTGTCGCGTGCAAGAGTAACCTGGTGGGTTCAGCTCGCTCTAGGGACTCGTCGAGCATCATATCTCTCTTCTAGGCTCTTAATGAAAAACTCTGAACATCGAGTCGGTGGTCTTCCTGCAGTGCGTGTAACATCCCAAGGAATCCAGCCACTAACGGCTCCTGTCCANGATTTTAGGCAACAAACAGTAGTTTCTCGGCAGTTAGAGGACTTGAGAGGTTTCGAACAATATAGGACTGCATAACAGGGTTTTCTTCTATGCTATGGGTATACATGATGTGTATAACGTGTATCACTTGTAGTCAGGTTGAGCGTTTGATCGTCGAGTAACTCGAGCGGGCGCAAGTAAATCCTCCATTTTTCCCTGTCGCGTGCAAGAGTAACCTGGTGGGTTCAGCTCGCTCTAGGGACTCGTCGAACATCATATCTCTCTTCTAGGCTCTTGATGAAAAACTCTGAACATCGAGTCGGTGGTCTTCCTGCAGTGCGTGTAACATCCCAAGGAATCCAGCCACTAACGGCTCCTGTCCATCGGTTGTCATTCACGCGCATTACGTGTCCGGCCCACCTTATCCCCAACTGTTTGGTGTAGAGAACGGCATCTCTGATTCTTGATCGTTCACGCAGGTCGGAGCTTCGAATATCTTCCCTTTTGGTGTGAAACGGAATACCCCTAGCAACGTCCTTTCAAATGCGAGTTCAATAACGCTGAGTGATCTTTCATCCTGCTTACGCAGCGACCACGTTTCTAACGCATACGTTAGGGCAGGAAGTACCGTTGAGTCGAAAATGTGGCCACGGAGTCGGGTGTTTTTGGTTCTCTTCACTACATCCTCGATGCTCCTGAAAGCTCCCCAAGCCGCTCGTTTCCTTCTGCTCAACTCTAGTGCTATGTCGTTCGTCATTTTGATTTCCCGACCTAGGTAGATGTAGCTGGAGCATTCTGAGATACTCGTACTCTTGAGCGTGAATGCTGCATACGAAACCAATCCGTTCCTCAAAAACATTGTTTTTGCAAGGTTTAGTCGAAGACCAGCCCTCCTACTGGCATGATCAAAGTCGGCCTGCATTTGCTCCGCATGGAAAATGCTTAGTGTGATAAGAACCTTGTCATCAGCAAAGCTAACTTGGTGTAATTAACAGCCATCGATCTTCGCTTGATTTTGACGTCTATGTTGATATCATTGTAGAGTGNCAAGCCGCTCGTTTCCTTCTGCTCAACTCTAGTGCTATGTCGTTCGTCATTTTGATTTCCCGACCTAGGTAGATGTAACTGGAGCATTCTGAGATACTCGTACTGTTGAGCGTGAATGCTGCATACGAAACCAATCCGTTCCTCAAAAACATTGTTTTTGCAAGGTTTAGTCGAAGACCAGTCCTCCTACTGGCATGATCAAAGTCGGCCTGCATTTGCTCCGCATGGAAAATGCTTAGTGTGATAAGAACCGTGTCATCAGCAAAGCTAACTTGGTGTAATTAACAGCCATCGATCTTCGCTTGATTTTGACGTCTATGTTGATATCATTGTAGAGTGGTAAAATCTTGGTTGTGGAATTTTTGCTGAGAGTTCGAAACTCACTAAGAGACGACTGTCTCCAGAAACACTCCAGATGGTAAGCAAGCGTGGAATCGCGCGAGTTGCAGGCAACTGCGAACTAATGTACGGAACAAAACAATGCAGGCAGGTGGAAAGAGATGATCTTAAAGAGAGAAGAGCAGCTGTAATGGTGGAAGCTGCAGAGGCTGGGAAAAGCATTCGCAAAGCTCACCGAGCTTCGCCAATTAAATGATCAAGATGATTGCACTCCGACGTCCAGACGGAACAGTTACTACTTCCAGAAAGGCAATGGAGAAAATCATTCACGAATACTACTCAGATCTCCTCCATAGCCACGTTCACCTTCCGTCATATAAAGTAAAGGAGGATGGATATGTTCTACCACCGGTTCTCCCTTCTGAAATCCGACGTGCCATCTTGTCGGTGAAAGATCGATCAGCACCAGGTCCGTACAGTATAAGACCAGAACACCTTAAGAACCTTACTCCAGGCCTCGTAAACACACTGGCTAGGATGTTCACACGTTACCTGTCTGAATGCCAGGTCCATATTCAGTGGAAGACCAGCAAGACCGTGTTATTGTCCAAGAAGAGTGACCTACACGATGTCGGCAACTACAGCCCAATCTGCTTGCTGTCTGTCGTCTACAAACTTTTCATTCAAGTCATTCTAAACAGAATTGTAAGGGCACTGAACGATAGACAGCCATGTGAGCAAGCAGTGTTTCGAAAACGATTTAGTACGATGGACCACATCCACACGATACAGGGCTCATTGAAGTATCGCGAGAGTACAAAAAGCGGCTCTGGTTCACTTTCATCGATTTAAAGGCCTTTTCCTCAATTGAGATTGAAGTAGTCATGGAAGCCCTTGACAGTCAAGGAGTTCCTGCTGAGTTAACAAAGATTCTTCGCGAGCTGTACAAAAATTTCACACCTAAGATATTACTGTTTTACAACGATATTAACATTGACGTCAAAGGATGGGTTAATCAAGGCGACAGCATCTCACCAAAATTATTTACCGAAATGTTCGAGAAGGTCGTGCGAACATTGGAATGGGATAACATGCGAGTGAAAATCGATGGTCGGCAGTTAGATCATCTTCGCTTTGCTGATAACGTCGTCCTTATAAAACCAAACATTAGGCCGACAGAACCAATGCTAGTCGGCCTGTGCAAAGATTGGTCTTCGACTAAATCTCACAAAAATGATGTTAATGAGGAACGGATTTTNATTGATTTCTTATGCCCCATACACGCTCAGAGTAATGAATATGTCCGAATGCTCCAGTTAGGTCTATCTACGTCGGGAAATCAACATGTGGAACGACTTAGCTCGATAGTTGAGCAGAAGGAAACGATCGGCTTGAGGAGCGTTCAAGAGCATCGACGATATAGTGAAAAGAACAAAGAACACCCGTTACATGCCCACCTTTTTGACTCAACGGTAATTCCTGCCTGAACGTATGCGTCAAAAACCTGGTCGTAAACAGGCTGAAAAGTCACTCAGCATTATTGAACGCGCAGTCGAAAGGACGATGCAACAAGTATACCGTGTCACGAAAGTAAGAGATGAGATCCGAATCTCCGACACCTGCATCAACGATCAAAAATCAAACATGCCGTTCTATACGCCAGACAGTCGAAGATAAGGAGAATCGGACACGTAATGCGTATGAATGACAACCGATAGGCAAGAGCCGTTAGTGACTGAATCCTCGTCATGTCAAACCCACTGCAAGAAGACCACCGAGCCGATGGTCAGAGTTCTTCACAAAAAACCTAGAAGAAAGATATGATGCATAGCTAGTCCCAAGATCGACTAGAACCCACAGGACTACTCCTGCACCCGACAGGAAAAAATGGAAGATTTACTTGAGCCCCCTCGGGTCAATCGACGATGAACAGAACTATAGATGATACAGGTGAATGGGTACGTCTGACGCAGTTGTCGGAGACACCTTGGAATACATGTGGGGTCTAAACACACAACCCTTGCTCACCAAGCCTTCCATCTCTCAAGGTTCGGGAAATTGGTACCAAACTTATCTGAGGCAATAGCAGCATTTAATAAATATATCGGTGGGCACTGTGAGACGTTGTTAAGGCCAGATATGCATTCGGTCACCTCCAACGATGTTTAATGAAGTAGAGTGCATGATGTATCTCTCAGGGATCGATAAACGTCGACAGCTTTATCTTAATTCTCTTTTAACCTGTGTTAGTCCACCCCTATACACGAAATTCCTTTGCACCTGAATCATCTATGAGTACTACTAATTCCTCCCATTTTTGAACCCTTTCCAACAGCGAAGAGGTTTTACACGTAAAACTTACTTTTTAAGGTAGTTATATCTGTGTTTCCGCAGGTAATACCAAATTCTGCAATTATTGTTGTTACAATCTTAACTCTTTTATTTACTGCCTTTTTCTTCTTAATAGCAAGGTATGTTGTGAAATATAACTCGTATGAAGTGCTGAGATATTTGCAAAACTCCGGACCACGGGTGTATGCAGTGAGGAACGAACACGCGCTGTTGTCCTTACCGGGGAGCAGCGCACTTCACCACTACACCATCCGGGTATTGTTGTTATTATAATACCCTAATTTTCACCCAGAAGGTTGATAAATCTATCTGTGCCTTCATTCTTATGATTAATCCTTTTTGATACCTCAGGATAACTTCATGTTTTTTCCACAAATACATTGTTCTTACACTCACTTTGAACATTTGACTGAATTCTGGTATCGCTTTTTTTTTCATCTACTGCTCCGAGCACACGTTTT